GATGCACTCTCTCTGATGGAAACCAAGACTGCCGGCAGCCGATTTCAATCGTTGAGATTTGTTTTGCAAAATATATTTTATATGAGATATAAAAGTATATATATATATATATATATATATATATATATATTACGGTTTCTAAAATGTTTGCAAAATGTTTTAATTCCCGGGATCCACATAAGCAGAGAGTGCAACACTGTTTCTTGCAGCCAAGGGAGAGGTCCTCTCTTGTCGGGCAGTGTATGATCATTATGGGCTGAGAGCTTAAGTGTAAGGCCACTGAGGGTAATACCTGATGGGCTAATCTTGCATCTGCCCATAGTCCCTGGGTTTTTACAAGGTGGCTTGGTCCAGGGACCACTTAATTTAAGTGTTGGGCCCAATAGAAGTCCATGTGATGGGTTTCAGGGGCTGCACTATCCACAACAGTGTATTCGGCCAGGCCTTGTAACAAAGGCTGGGCCGAACCCATATGGCTGATGTGTAGATCAATGCTTGCGTCCCACGCCATACAAAGAAGCCCAACTAGGCAGTAGTTTAGAAGCAATTTGAGCATATAGACTTATTGGGCTTAAGCCCATATCGAACTGGCCTGTTTTAATTAGTTAAATAGAGGGGGCGAATCTGGGATTAAATCAGCTGATAGGATAGAGTCCTACCCTATCCACCCAGAGAGACCAGATCTGAATTCAGATCTAGAAACCTCCTGATAAGATCAGGAGAAGGCTGATCTAATTTGCAGATAAGATAAGGGTCTTATCCTTATCACTTAAAGAGAGTCCAAATTCAGATAATGATCTGAATTAGGAAACTCCTAATAGGATCAGGAGCTGATCTCTTTAAGCCTATAAAAACAGGAGGGGGCGGACCATCGATATCATCCAAGCATCCAGAGATCAAATCTTAGATAACCAAGAGAGAAGACATCTACGCCATCTTCTGCTCTTGCGTTCTCCTCCAGTTGTCGCCTCATTGCTAGTTCGATCTCCTTGGTGGGAGAAGATCAAGGAGTGTTCTTGATATCAGTCTTTGGAGAAAGGCTGATAGGAAGTTGTGCTCACTACCTCCATTGGATTCTTCCTGATAGGGGGCGGACCCTGTTGATTCTGCTCCTCCATCCACTATGTCATCTTCAGTGGGAGCAGTTTTTGGTGATCTTCTTTGGGCATGAACACCTCCATTGAGAGATACTATTTCTCTGTATCAGGTATATCCCTCTCCTACTGTTTCGTTTCAAATCTGGTTCGGTTTATAGTTCAAGATTGATCATTGAAAAATATGATTTTTCTAAAATAGGGAATACGAATCCCAGTTGAAGGGAGAAAATTTTTGAAATTCGCCCACCCTATTCCGCAAGTTTTGGGCATCCATGTGATGGATCTCTC